ATTCGTTGTAACTTATCTCCAGCACTGAAGATGTAGTAATGTTTCTGTTTTGCACAGAATCAATAACTGATAATAAACAAGTTTACTGTCCTACACAGACTAGTTTTTTATTTTCTTTCCAATGAAAATAACACCAGTAGGTAAATAATTTTAGTTGATGGCCGGTAATTCATTCATCGTCTAAGTAGATCGTATTTTTGATGGAGAAAAATAAGTTAGTGGCAAATTATGTAACATTCTGGTAACGCTTGCATTGGATAACCACACTGGATCTTACATATGCAACTGGCTTAAACATTAAGCAACCTTGCCGCCATAGTCACATATAAGCTGCGCCGCAATTGGAGCAGGAAGAACTTGATTTTTCGTTTGTAATGGATTTGCCATTTCTTGACTGGTTTCAATCAGAGAATGCTATAGCGGGCATTACTCCACATTAGAGTGTATGAAACCTAAATGGCACAAGGTATAACCCTGTTGTGCTGGGGTTGCTTCCACGAGTGCGAGTTTGAGAGTTTATAGGAACTTCTAGGGATGGCGTCCTAACTAAGATTCAATCTTTAACGTTCTTTAACTGTCTTAGCGAAATCATTCTCTCTCGTGTTTTTACGTGTACCTTTGGTTCGCATATCCTGCACTAAATTTATTAAACGAGTGAAGTCATGACTCATAGGCAAATAGTTCCTGATATGAACGCAGAAGAATTATTTCATGATGAAAGCAGTCTAAGACTCTTATTCTTCTTCTTTTTCGGTGTTGATACTATCCTGGGCAGTGCGACCAGTGGTGTGGAATGCTTTCACTTTCTAATCGAGTAAACTGTTATTTGTGAAACGTTAACTGAGTCATGAAGAGGCATGGAAAGTTCGCTACTAAGACTTTTACAAACCGCTGAGTAGTGCAAATGCAAAAAGCAGATGTCGTTTGTTCGCTTAAGTAGATCTTAAACTTCTCGATATTTTCTGATTGCAGCGCAAACATAGCTGTGCTTTGAATTAGATATTTTCAAGTCAGTAAAGAACTTGCACAAAGCGAATTATTTATTCAATTTTCTTTCATTCTTCGGAGCGAGGAAGAGAGGAAAATTTTTAAGTGGTGCTATTCAAATATTTCAAAAGCAAATATTTTGTAACCGAAACACACAATGGACGCACGCCAGCCAAAAACAAATTACGCTGTTCAAAGTAACTGTAAAACAGATTTTGCATTGTCTTTCAATTACTGATGCCGGATTTACACGACTAACGCTGTAAAGGAAGATCATTTGTTTTACAGCCTAACCGCGGTAGCATAAGAAGACTGGCAGTCTTTACACCCGGTTGTGCTGCAACAGCGCACCTCCCTTAATGTTTAGTCGCACAGGGGGGATTATTTAAGCGGGCTGTGGTTGAAAGTTATTTCAGTCCCAGTAGTACATAGAACGTATACACTGTGTTTCATTGTTGGACCGAACAAGAACGTATTCAAGCACCAATAATTAACCACTATCTGTAGGCAAATATACAGAGAATAATATATGACCCTGATGAATAGGTGGCTATGACATATTACTGCATTCTGATTCCGTCGCGAGTGTAGAAACCGCCATCCGTCTTACATTATCGCACTTATACTTAACAATTTTCTCCATGTAAATACGGTACTACTTATGAGTCGGTTGATACTACTATGATGACGACTCATCGTTTCGAGTCGTGGGCTTCTGTGATTGCATCCACTGTAAACTAATATCCGTTGCCTGCCAATTGCTCAGAGTTAAAGAGTTACGCAAAGTACTCCCTCGATTGCCAAAGTACGTAATCATCCGTGGTTAAAGGCATGTGGATGTTTCTTTCACGACTCTAAGATTGCCGTTCTTTCCATCTCGAAGGTGGCGGGCATCATGTTTGCCATCTGGAAATTCGATTCCACCATCTCACAGAACTTTTGCCAGCAGTCATCTTTCGCTTTGGCCACTACTTTCGTTGCCACTTGGCGCTCTTCTTCGTACGGTACTCGAGTTGAAAGCTCGTTGCTTTCCAGCTACCTTTTCAATGTAGCCCTCTCGCTGACAGCCAGGTGAACCTCTCGTGTCCATCGCGTAACGAAAAAGTTCGTTTATGACCTGAAGGCGACAGGCCAACCCGTTTCAAATCTTCACTAGAGCCATTTATTCCACTTTACAGTATTTGCTCTAGCACGCGCTTTAAAATCGTCCATTAGAACGGTGGTCTTCCGCTGACAGCGTTCCATTCAATGATTCCGTCTGCCAGGCTGGGTTCTACCAGAGCACCATGACTTCCACCGGCAGGGGCTGGTGGTGGCATTCCGTCGATCCCATATTGCACGTGTTATAATGGCATTGCACTGTCTGCCTCCTCTGTTCAGAACGGATAGCGACTCCGTTGTTGACTGGCATATTCGTCGTTTTTTGTCGATCTTTAGCAGCTGTCGCCGTGCAGCTTCGACCCGCCCCCGGAGCTGCCGAAAGCGAGAAGCAGGTTATAGCCTGATCGGCCCTTGGCGACATGAGGACGACCGAGCCTAGATGATTACCGATAACGTCAATGACATGATGAGTAGGTGGTTAAGGTTTTCCACTTGGAAACTTGGTTTACGCAGCCCTACTTCTTTCTCATCCGGGCTTGTAATCAGCAGCGGCGGAGTTGGTATCAGTGGTTGACGGGTAATATTTGCCGATGGCACAATCGAAATGTTGCCATTCTCGGCAGTTACCTGATGCACTCGAGTTCATATACTATTTCTGAAGGATATATCGAGATTATAGATTGAAGGTCAAGTTAATTCAAGTCAAGTTTATTATCTTGTGCAACGATTTGTTGCTATCAGCATACGCGCATCCATTACTCTAGGATTAAACAGATCTATGTATATACACAGAAGGTTAATGCCTAGTCAGAATATTATGTACAAGTATTTTCAGTGCATATCATTGAGGGTAGTATTACTGGAATTTATCTCTATACTGTCATCCAATAGGGTTTGTAACACCTAATGACGTACGAGCCTGTGGCCATGACTCTTCTCTGCCTTACAAACAATGCTTCGTACATTTTTGCTTCAGTCCAGATGTCTAGCTCTTACTTACCCGTAACCAAACCGGTGAACCCTTGCTATTCATTTTGTTGCACAGCATGCAGCCTGCATAAGTTACATGATGAACGATTTCTATCTGCGGATTGAGAGAGGACTTCAGCTGAGTAGTCTGATCTGCAAGACATGATCAGATATCACGAAATGTCCCATATGAACTGATAAAACGATACTAAGCTTTTGGTGGCAATCACCACTACTGACCTATCGGCAGCTGTCCGTTCTCCATTAATTCACCATTGATGTCTACGATGTAAATATCTTGCAAGACCGGGGACATGGTTCTTACGTCAAAACAAAGACAGAGTGTTCTTAAATTGCTAAGATCTTATAGAAACGCTGAAATGATTGACTAATACCAACGGTAGTCGATACTGACAGGACTCTGCGAGTTTTTCGGCAAAATCTGTTTAGTAGAAGGAAACTCTTACAAGATACCCGGTGGAACGACTGAGATGCCACCATCCCTATTTGTCTTCAGAGAAAAGCATTGTAGAACATTATTGTGTCGTCGAGCATCTAAATGATGGACGACGACCCGTGAAAGGAGCAACAAATGATTTGGACGACGTTTGATGCCCTATGTCCGAAAACAGAGCCCAAATGATTGCATTTGCGTACTGTCACTTCGCTGGAAATGGCCTTGTACATCGTTCAAGCTTTCATCTCTTTGCATAAAAGTTGACATTTGCCAGTATCACTGTCATCTGCAGTCTACTTCTAGCCCTTGTTATAGCTTATACTACCAATATAACAGAGTACTGCATATCTTTGATTGATGTCAAAGCTCTGTTCATGCAGTTACATCCCTGGAAAATGCAAAATATTCCATCCATAATGGTGAATGATATCGAAGCGGCGTGCTCGACGACTAAAGAATTTTGATTGATTATCGCCTGACTGTGAGAACAGAAATTCAGTCGATACTTTCGCATGATATGTAATTTCAACCAAATTATCTCGTTCGTTTCTACATAAATATCAGAAAATTCACGACGTGTGCAACAGTCAACAGCCAGGACTCTTGTGATTGACGATAACTGCCCCATTAAAATTTGAGAACAAGCCATTTTATGGAAATCGGCACTTTCTATAATCTGAACTCATCTCCCGTTCTCACGTTCATCAGGAGTTCATTCTAAAGGGAAAACGCAGTTCAGGCCAGCCGGCTGTCCTGCAGTAGACAGGCGATAGTGTTGCGGTGAAGGGCGAGGATCGGACTCTGTTAATTGAGGACTTCATATACGATACATCTGTGACAGGTGATAACTTTCTTAATGCCCGGAAATCAAAAGTTATGAGTACACATCAAGCACGGATGGAGTGGGGTACAAGTGGAACAAGGAGGCGAAGCTGTGATGCATGATGCGGATCAGTTTAGATACGTCGATTGCATCATCTCCAGCGATGCACCATCTGATCAAAGTTACATAAGAGGCTCTCGCGTTCAATGCATTTGGTGACCTGCCAAATATTTGGGCTGAGAAAGGTAATACCTTCCACAAAAATCCGCTAGTATTTTGCCAAGTCTTGTAGTAGAGCACGGCGACAGTTCTTCCAACGAAGGAGGATAAGCGACCATTGAATTGCGTACATCATCACTGGCTTCGGCGCGTAATGAGGGTTAAATGGTATGAACACGTACGGAATAACTCTGTTCTCTTCCCGGCACAGGTTACCTGGTAGATGTGAAGATGAAGAGAAAGAGATTGATCGTAAAGCATTTACTCCAATTCATGAACTTGTGCGGCAGATGTTGATCAGGAGGTATGTAACGTGTGGAAAAGGGTAGAGGCAGATCTGCTTCCAGGGAGGAATATTTTTTCCTATGATGCAACGTCCAGGGCCCTAGAGCAAAAGTGTGCAACAGCTGCGAATGTCGCAGATCAGTTATGATTATGCAAACGACCAAGTTGATGGTGTCAACAAATAACTACATCTAGAGATATGCTTGGAGTTCACGCTCAGCCGTCGCAGCTGCGGCAGTGACCAAAAAGAATTAACTCTTCCGAGGCATATATATATTCTCATTTTCGACCGTACCATCTATTCACCAAGTGAACACCGAAGAAAACTTCGCGATCATCTCTCTGTTATGTGAAGCGATTTTTCGAGTCGTTTCTGTCAGCTGATCAGGTCGGTATGTTATTGCAGTTCTGCGCAATATCCTACCGTTTCATGTGAAAAGTTTTCTTCCTTCGTATACCCTTTTTAAATATTAACTTAAATAGAACTTTGCATACAGTTTTCATTCAGAACCTCGTTGCATTAAATTTCTTCTCAGCCCTGATTTGGTGTAGTTTCATGCTTAATGACATGTTTCTGACTTACGAACCCATGTTTCTTTAAATATGAAAAATGTGAATTCACGTTCCATGGCGGCAAATAATATTCATGTTCTTGCTTCCAAAAAGCTTCCGACTCAACAGGCGATGCACCGTTGCTTCTACGCCCCGTAGAGGCTGCAATACCATGGGGCTGTTGTTCTGCTTAAACGTTCCCCTGGCCTTTTGAAACAAGAGTTGTTGCCGTCATAATGTGAAACCCAAATCATGTCTAGTAATGGGTATTTTTAACGGCAATAGTGAAAACAAACTTTGCGGCTAAGCCAAAATTTTTGTCAGTTGTATTATTGAAATTAACATCTGTTTGTCGCCATGCATCACCTCTGAGTTTACATGCCAAAATCGCGTCACTCCGTTTCTCCTAGATGGCCGCTGTTAAGTGGTTAAGAAGATCACAGATGTTTCTGCACATGCAATGCTGCTAAGTGCATCTCGCGTTTGCTCCGGCTAATTAATGCAATATACTCGATGGCGAATGCGCGTAATCTTTTCGCACCAACGCGGCACAGTCTTAGATGCCTACGGATGCGATGATCGAGTCACAACTTGATTGTATTTTAGCAGTGCTTAAACTCAAAATCGCGTCACGGTGTACGGTCGAGCAAGAATCTGCTTGAAGAACATTCGAAACATGCATTTCAGTTTACCGGCAGGAACTGCTGCATCCTACTGTCGCAGAAGATAACCAGCGCAAATCATTTTTCTGGATTTACACGGCATAATCGCACCACAAATTTG